CCCCACTTACAGAAGCCCCAGGGCTCCTGCTTGGTGTGGTAAAGGGTTAGGGTTGAGTCTGCAGCATGAGGTCCCTGCCAACTGGGTGCTAGGGGACCAGCTGCCCCTGCTCTCTCTGGATTGCTTGGCCACACAGTTACCCTTTGAGGGCTCACCCAGGTGGACAGCTGAATTCACAGAGTTCTCGGGGCTCCCTGGGGTGGTGCAGCATGAGCAGGCCTGTGTCTCTCCTGGTGTCCCTTGCCTTTGCCATCTCTGCTCTGTGTGTGTTTTAGGAGAGGGCCTCCCCTTGGACTTGGAGCAGCCGAGTCATCTCAAGTTCAGAGTTCAGAGCTCTGCTCTGCTCTGCTCTCTGCTGTGCCTTGGAAAGGTGTGTGCCTCACAGGCCCCAGAGGTTACGATGGCCAGAGGTCAAGTGTGAGTGGACTCCTGAGCTTTGTTCAAAAGGGTCCTCACCCTTATCTGCAGTTTATTGGAAGCTTACATCGTACAAGCAGTCTCTTACTGTGGATTCCTCTAGGTGTTTCTCGAAGGCACATCTGAACCTGTAAGCTGAAGGGGATGGATTTACTATTTCCTTTGTGCAATGTGTACCGTGCCCCTGCAACACAGTAGCTGGCCTGGGAAGCAGGCCTCGGTGTCCGTCCATCTCCTCGGTGTTTTTGTGCCTCAAAGTTGCCAGTATGGGGAAATTGGGGGCCTCAGTCGCTTGTTGGAAATATTTAGGAAGCTGCCAAGTCTATCAGAATGCTTTACTATCACCCAGGTGAACAGCAGCATAGCCACGTCCTTCAAGGACAACCCCTGTAAGTCAGCACTGCCTGCTTGTGAGGCGGACTGCGTGATGTCTCTGAGGTCAGTCCCCTGCCGAGGAAGAGCACAGGGTGCTGTCTGCCCGCTTTCTCCCAGGACTTAGGACTGTTGTGTATGCGGGTCACACGGTGAGACCTTACCTCGGTGGGGCTGGCGGCGGTTTGGCCTTGTGTTAGGTTCTGTTGGTGGATGGCTGGCTTGATGGCTCTTACTCGCTGCCAGGGTGCCTCTGTGCCTCTCCCCCACTTCGCCATTTCTTTCTGGAATAAAGTAGCGGATCCTCTCTCCAAGTCCCGTGTGTCCATGTCTGTCCAGAGTTCTGTGAGTGATGCAGAGGTTAGCCCAGAGTTGGCCGGCTTTGTGACCTGGGCATCTGATGTTGGGAGACATTCCAAGTCTGTGCGTGCCTCGCTGTAAAATTAAACCGGATGTGAGAACAGGTTGTACCTTCCTAGAGTGCTGCCTAGAAACATGGATGTGCTGTGGCTTCCTAGCAGTGCAGAGGACATAGGTGACATTCCCTACTTGAAGGAGAGCAGTGGAGGAGGGAAACTCCAGGACGGGGGTGTGATGGGGTGGTCTCTCCAGTGCTTTTGGTGGAAAGCTGGAGGAACTTCTCTTTCACTGTTGGCAGGCAGTTAGATGAAGGTGTTGCTGGTGGGCCTTGTTGTTTGGGTGCTGGGACCGGCCCAGGGCCTGGCGCTGTGCCTGGAGCTGCACCCCAACCCCTGTTCCTGGTGCTCCTGGACACAGCTCGTGGCTAGGAGGGAAGGCTACTTGTGCAGAGGAAGGCTCCCCAACAGTGCTCCAGGGAGGCTGGGCCCGTGCTCTAGCCGCACCTCACACATTGTCCATAATGTGTTTCCAGCATGTTCTGTGACTTTGAATCTGTTCCTTCCCGGTCAGACACGTTCAGCTGTCTGCTCAGTGCTGTTCTGCCTGGGGCTCTCCTGGTGTGTCCATCTTCCTTTATGGGGTGAGTTTAGGGTTGATGCTGATCATTTACTGTTGGCACTTTGTTTTTTTTCGCATCATTTATTTTTTATTTTTTTCCACAATATCTTTATTTATTTTTATGTGGTGCTGAGGATCGAACCCAGTGCCTCACACGTGCGAGGCAGGCACTCTACCACTGAGCTACAACCCCAGCCCCTCGCATCATTTATTTGTATTAAATAAGGACGAATGGCCAAGGGGTTGGAGCAATAGAACAGCAGCCCCACTGGTCCCTGTCAGTGCTCCTCAGTGTGGTTTAAAGAGGGTGTGGGTTCAGGAAGGTTGCCTAGTGTGGGCGCCTCACCTCTTCTGTTGGTGCATGGTCATGGGAGAGTGAGCGCACACCTCTCAGTGTGTGGTAAGTTGAATATGTGCCCTGTTGTACTGATCACAAAACAAGAAACATTTTTTTTTTTTCCTACTGGGGATTGAACCCAGGGGTGCTTAACCTCAACCCCACTTTCCCAGCTCTTTTTATTTTTTATTTTCAGACAGTGTCTCGCTGAGTTGCTGAGGCTGGCTTTGTACTTGCCATCCTCCTGCATCAGCCTCCCCACTTGCTGGGATTACAGGCATGTACTACCACACCTGACAAGAAATTTTTTCACATGGATATTTTTTTTTTCTTGAGCACATAGTCTTGCCCACCCTAGGGGTACTTACACCCCACTTGATGGTATCATTAAATAATGTATGAAGAGCTGGGCATGGTGGTGCACACCTGTAATCTCAGTGACTCTGGATGCTGGGGAAGGAGGATCTGAAGTTCGAGGCTAGCCTCAGTAACTTAGTCATTGTCTCAGAATTTTAAAAAAGGGCTGGAGGTGAGGCTCAGTGGTAGAGCACCCCTGGGTTCAATTCTCAGTACCAAAAAAAAAAAAAAAATCCCATGAGGTGTGTTAAGAAAACTAACATAGGAACAGGAAAGGAACAGGGTTAGAGTGATACCAGCAGCAGGGCCAGGAAGCAATGCTGACTGGGAGTTGGAGGAGTCAGATGGGAGGAACTTGCACCTGAGAGGCTGCTGTAGGTGCTGTGTGGCCTTGGGAAGATCACTGTGTTCTCCAAACTTTCAGTTTCTCCTAACCAAAGAGGCTAGCTGTGAAGGTGAACTGAGATCACGCTGATGTGCGCAGACGTGAGAGTGGTGTCTGGCGCAGGGCAGGGCAAGTCAGTGGTGGCTGCTGGGGTCACTGAGTGCCTCCTCTGTGCCTGAGCCTTTGCCAGGTACCCTGTGGTGTTCAGTGTGTGGGTCTGGATCTTGGGGCTGGTCCTTCTGTTCTGGCTGAGTCCAAAGCCCCCAGCTTTGCACCACCTGGGGCCTCCTGGCCGTGCCGAGAGGCCCGAGTCTGGGTGCCGCTGCTCCAGTGAGTGAGCTGCATGTGGGGGAGGCATAGGCAAGGTCTTGCCTTTGCAGGGGAGCATCAGGTGACCAGGAGTCCTTCCAGGGCCAGGTCCCCACCCCCATCCTCATCCAAGCCCAGTCACTGTGTGGTTTTTCACCAGGTCAGTTGATTTCCTGGGCTGCTTGGACCATACTGGGGCCACATCAGGGAGGGCTGTGGGCAAGATCCGGGGCTGTCTGGCTTAGTGTGTGGGTCTCTGCGTCAGTGTTCAGGTGCCCTCGGAGTAGGGGAGGCCCTTCCCTCCACTTCAGCTTCTTCCTGCCCTCTTGCCACCTCACTGACTGCCTAGTCCCTTCAACTACCCCCAGCCTCGTGATTGTTACTGAGGCTGAGACAGATGCTTTTGGGAGCAAGGAAGCCACTGATTGTCACCTGGTCAGGCACCTAGGTACTTGTCCTGGAGATGGGAGGGTATACGTATGCCTAGGGGACAGATGGGGTTGACCACAGGACTGGGGCAGGAGAGATGGGGGAATGGAAACAGGACACCATTTTTGGTGTGTTCCTGGCCTTGTCCTGTGTGCAGGCCACCTGGCGCTGTGCTGGGCTAAGGTGCAGGGACAGGATCCGCGTGCCTCTAGGCTGTGTTGTGTCAGCACTTGGAAGGGCTGGGAGGTGGTGGAGGTGCTGGAGCCCCAGGTTCCTGGATCTTTCCAGATAGGAGGGATAAGGACGCACGGACCACATGGTTCCTCTGCAGGGGTGGCAGTTGGATTGCAGATTGAGGGTCTGCCCTGTCTGGCCAGTGGCCATGGCATTGGCTGTGGGGTGGCCGGAGTGTTCCTGGAGCAGAACGTGGCCCCTAAGCCCTCTGTCATAGAAGTTTTCCAGGGTGTGCATGTCACCCCCATCTGGTATCTGCAGAGTGCCCTGGGGCTCATTTGTCTGCATTGGGAGTTTGGAAGGGGCTTATCTTTGGGCTCCCCCTCATGTGGCCCATTTATTGTCGCCAGCACTAGGAAATTGGCTCTCAGACGCTCATGAATGTGCACGTGACTGACGGTGACGTTCTTCCTGGGGAGAGTAGGGTCTTGAGTGGAATTCAGAGGTGGGATCAAAGGGTCAGGGCTCATCTCTTCTGTGAGCTGGACTTGGGGCAGTGTTTGGTGGTAGCTAACTGGTGCCAGTAACATAAGCCAGGTGATGGCCAGCCATGCCCAGATCTTGGTCCAAGCATGGGGAGGAAGGAGGGGAGGTCCATGTAGCCCTGTCTGGCAGGCCTGAGAGGCGTTGTTAAGCACCTCCTTGATATCTAACTTCAGGTTTATTCTGGAACTTTCTCATGGTCCTATTTTAATCGCCCTGTGACTGATCTGGAATGTGAGTCGACTCCCCTGTCACCTAAGGCTTGTGTGTTCATAACAGATATTGCTGGTTGCCGATCAGCTCCAGTGCAGCTTTGAAGCCTTGAGGGGGCGCTCGTGTGGAGGCGCAAGGCCCTGTCCCCCTCTTCCCCCTGCTCCTCCTCTTCCAGGACCCCGTCACACACTCCTCCACTTGACCTGCTTGAACAGGCAGGTTTAATTTGGGTTTCTGGGCGTGGTGTGTTCTTTTCTCTTCCCATTGACCGTGGACTAAGATTTTTTTTTTTTTTTTTAATAAAACATGAAATTTTCTTTCTTTTTTTTGGGTGTGAAATAAATCCTCCTTTTGAACATTTGGCATAAGTGAAAGTGTGAGGTTTTATTCACTCAAACCTAGTACAGGAGGACTGGGGGTCGTTGCAGAAGCAATCTGAATGCCAGATTGGGAGGAAAGCTAAGAGCAGGCCCATCTTGGAGGTGGTCACTGGTCAGCCAGGGCCTCTGAAAAGCAAGAGGTTGGGTCACAACTCCAGGCTACCCTCCTGCTGGCCTTCCACAGTGTGGGGGAGGTGATGTGGTGACGGGGATGGGGACATTGTCCTTGGAGTTGGGAGGTGGTGTTGGAGTGTGGAGTGTGATTCTGGTCTGTGCAGCAGGGTGAGCACCCCCAGCCTGCATCACATTGGGGTGCATGTTTGTGAGGAAGGAGTGTGGCAGATTGTCATGTGCACCTCCAGAGGCTGGTGCTCTGCCCCCTCAGGGACAAGCTGGGGTCTTTTACCAGATACTTGGGGATTCAGAATGAATCCAGAATCCTTTGCGTATCTGGCTGTGGAGCCTCTTCTGAAGGCAGCTGTGGCCCCAATTCCCATGTGATGTGAAGTTACATGGGCAAGGTGCTGTCATGCCAGGTGGCCATATGTATTCATGATGGGATCTGGAGCCACTTTAAGGAGTCAAGGCTCCCATGGGCCCCAGAGCTGGCTAAGGTGCCAGTGCTTGCAACATGGTGTTCTTTGACAAAGGCTTTGAAAAGGTCACTCCACTCCGTGTGGCTCTCCAGGACCAGCCTGGCTGCTTCCTGCAGGGATTTGGGGAAGCTGTTGGAGGGGCAGAGTTGGGGAAGGAGGTGTCTTGTGTCACCCAGCAAGCAGGCTCTGGTGGGCTCAGCTCCCATTTAGGATTTCAAGGCAAAGGGATTAATCTGACCCAGGAAAAGACTCACCTTTGGCCTCTTCCCAAAGGATGTCCTGAAGAAACTTCCTCAGGGCCCGGCTGTGCTGCTGGTACTGAGCCCCAAACAGCTTGATTGCCATGTCAAAGGGGGCATTGAACTGGGGGTAGAGCAGGGGCGTCAGGGTCTCGCCCCGCCCCTCTCCCTAGCATGTCCCCTCACTGGAGGAAGCTGGGTTCTCCTGGCTGCTATCTTGAGGACATTCACCAGCCTCTCTCATGTATCCTGGCCCTAGCCTCAAGGAGGTCTCCTAGTATGCGTTCCCACCCCCTTATAATTTGGGCAAGATTGAATCACTGGTGGTGGTCGCATTTCAGGCCAGTGGGGAGCTTTGCGGGGCAGGGTGTTCCCAGCATGCAGGCCACTAGCCTGGCTGAGGTTCTGGCCCACCTTTCTCTGTGCTTCCTTGTGCTTCCTCCTGCTCCTCCCCCAGCTGCTCCTCCCCCAGGCCCAGGAAATGAAACTGGATGCTGATTTTTTTTCCCAGAAAGATGCTCCAGGCCAGATCTTTTCTTCTTAGGGGGAGACTGTCCCCCTTCCCTGTTTCCAAGCCATCTTCTGGGATGGTTTACTGGGGCTCACACCCTCTGGGGTGGATGGGAATGAACTACTTTTGGGCTATATCGTAGATCTCTCTGGAGAGCAGGCACAGTACCTTTCTCCTTGCTGGTGGTCAGATGGGGTTGACCACAGGACTGGGGCAGGAGAGATGGGGGAATGGAAACAGGACACCTTTTTTGGTGTGTTCCTGGCCTTGTCCTTGTCCTTGGTGCCTGGCTGTGGTGGTCACCCAGTGTCTGAATGGGTGGGTGATGGAATCTTAGTGCTGGAAGGGAGCCTGGGCTAGTCCTCACAGCAGGATCCCAGAGAGGCTGGACAGCCTGCCCGAGGCCACAGAGGCAGTTGAGGGCAAGGACTAGAGCCAGACCTAAGACCCACCCAGGCCTGAGTCCATACCAGGTGGGCTCAGGTTCCCGTGGGTAAAGAGGCTCTGGGAGTGGCCACAGGGAATGGCCGCCCCTTCCCTCTGCAGGCTTGGTCTCACTGCAAAGCTGAGTGGGGTGCAGGGCTGGTTTCTTTAGGGACTGGGGTCTTCAGGTCCCTCCTGTCCCTCCTGCTGATACAGTTTTTTTCTACCCCTGTGACCACTGTGTATGGTCAGGTCACCTTGCAGTGTTCTTGGGAATCGAGGGGTGCTGACTGTGGGAATGCCAGGCTGCTGTGACATTGGGGTGGTGTAGTAGGGCAGGTGTGAGGTGGACTGGCTGCATGAGACCTTCGATAGCCCCTCAGTGTAGGTCCTGGTTGTCTGTCTGTCCAGTGAAGGTGGGGCTTGGTCGCAGAGGTCTGAAACCTGATTCCAGGAGGAAGGGCAGTGCCCAGAGGGAGGCCTGGTCAGGTACACCCAGGGCCACCCAAGGCCACCCAGGGCCAGCAGCTGCTCTGGGCTGCCCCAGCCCCCTCTGGGCATTCCTGGCTTGGGCTCTAGTTGAGGTGGGTCTTTCTTCCAAGGCCATGTTCATGTCATCCCGGACCCTGTCACCATTTGCACTAAGGCAGAGAATTCTGCCGACTGGGTGGCTGTCCCCTAGCTGGGGCTGGCTGAGCCACAGGAATGATTCCTGGGCTTGGCTGAAGGATTCACACCATTCCCTTAGGAGCCTCTGGGGCTGAGAATACGCCTGGGTCCTAGTGAGGAGCAGAGAAGGGTTTGGAGAGCTTGAGGTTGTCATTGGCCTTTGACCAGAGAGAAGGGTGGGAACAGGTAAAGGAGGCCGAGGGGAGGACTCGCGTCCTTGTTTCTCAGGCCGCAGAGGCCACTCCTAGGCCACCATGTTCCCTGTGTGGTCGCCAGATCCAGGAGGAGGAAGAGAGGAGGGCGGGGCTGCACCCAGTCCTGACCTCGGGCTCCATCTCTGCCATGTTGGCCCTGGCACCTTGGGCAAGTGAGTTCACCTCTCTGAACTTCTGCTTCCTGTCTGCATAGTGTGGATTTTAGTGTCACCTTGCTTACCCCACAGGTTGTGGTAGAGATTAAATGGCATGGAATGAGGGAGACCATGGCTGGGGTGCAGCTTCGGGGTAGACCCCTGGCCTGGCATGTGTGGGGTCCTGGGCTGGATCCCAGCATCACAAAAAAATAGAAGTAGAACAATTGTTGGAGATCACAGCTCCAGGCACAGCTGTACGGTAACTGCCATCAGGAAGTACCCCAGAAGAATCCCAGGGTAGCTCCAGAGGGGTGTCCCCCTGGGCACGGACCCCCAGCCAGCCTGGGGAGGTTGCACCGACTGGCCCTGTAAAATCCCCTTCTCCCTCCTCGTCTGGAACTGTCTCAGGTCTTCCTTTCCTGTGCAAGATACGTGAGAGCAAAGACCAGCCCGCCCTGCTCCGTCCTTTCTGCAGGTGAGGTCAGTGCTAGAGCCTGGGCTGGCAGCCAGCTCCCCTGTCCAGGGTTCTGTCTGGAGCACTCCCGCCCACAGCTCTTACTCCTGGTGCCTTGGCTCTGTGCTCACGAGCTGCCTCTGCAGCCTGCAGACCTCCAGCACCTTCTCTCTGCGGTTGGGGCGGGGCGGGCTCCTCATGTTCCCACGCTCTTGTAGCAGGTACTTGGTGACAATATTCTCTGACCAAAAACCTTGTAGAGCCCAGTGCAAAGCTCAGCTATCTCGGTGCTCATTTACAGTTACAGTTTATAATCCTTGAGCCCTTGTTCTTAGCTACCTGTTCCTGTCCTGGCCCCTTCCCCTGCTTCACAGCCACAGATGCATAAAATGCAGAAGCACCAACCCGGATCTCCAACTCGTCCTCTGCGCCATCCGCCTGGTCTGTGTCCTCTTGGTGGAGCCAGCCATCGATAGCTCTGGGCTGCAGTTTGGCTGGTGGCTTCTTGGACTCCTTTCTTTGCTGGAGAGGAGAGAGTTCTGTTTGGGTCCTGAGTCGTCCCCCCCCCCCCCCGCCCCGTGTCCTTCTAGAAACAGAATCAGGCCAATCCTAGAGCCCTCCTTTGTGTTCTGGGAGAGGCACAGGCCTGGAGAGGTGGAGCTGCTGCCCCAGGTCACGTGACTGTTGCTAAGTGGGGCAAGACCTTCTCCCCCGTCAGAATGTGGGGCTTTGCAGTGGAGGGGCTCACCTGGGCTTTCTGATGTTCGGGGCTCAGGAAGCTGGAGCCTGCCATGGCCACGTCCACCCAGAGCACACTGAGGAGCAGCAGGCTGCAGATGGTCCCCGCAGAGAACATGGCTTCAGGTAGCCCTGAGGGAGAGAGGGTTTCTAGGTTGCCTGTCTCATCCCCTTGATGTGCCTCAGAATTGTTTGGGAAGGAGCCCAGCGGACAGGTGAGGGGACTCAAGGACCTGAGTGGTGACTGTGAAGTAGGGAGGGTCTCCCTCTCCAAGGTTGGGGAGAAATAAAGGTTCTGTGAATCTTGGTGTGGGAAAGACTTGGGGCATCCACCCCAGTGCTGGTCGTCCTAGTCCCTGATGATGAAGCTGAACCAGCAGGATCTCCAGGGGACAGCCTGGGATTGAGGCAGCTTTTAAATCGAGCCCTGTCCCTGAGCTGTCACATTTGACCTTGGTTGTCCTTCTCCCCTTTGTGAAAATGGGTCGGCTGAGCCCAGAGAGGTTAAGCAGATGGCCAGCGGGCACACAGTAAGGCAGACCTGTAAGCACACACAGACATAAAGAGGAGTGAGCCTACCTGGGATTCCTGGTAAGGTGGTGCCCAGGGGCCCCCTGGTCCTTATATAGCAAGCTTGGTGTTTGTTTTAATCCAGCGACCTCATCTCAGAGGCAGCTGGCTCCTGTGTGGGCTGATGGACATTCCTAGGGAACTAAAAATGTTCATGTCCTCTGGGTAGAATCAACAGTGGAGGTCACCTGCCCTGCAGATTGCTGGGTTGGCCCAGGTGGGACTGCTCCAGCTGCCTGGCCCTGGGGGAGGGGAGGGGAGGGGAGGTAAGGGGAGGCAGGTGCTGGGCTCTGCTACCCGTGACCCCCATCTTCCCCTGTATCTGCCCTGGGGGGCAAGGCCCTGGGGCCTGATTCAGTCCTCTCCTGTTTTCTCAGCTAAAGCTTCTGGATCACAGCAGGAGCCAGGGTCACAGAATCCTCCCCGGTGAGTGCAGGTTCCATTGCACAGATGAAGAGGACTGGGGATGAGGCACTTGCTGCTCCCTTAAGAGCAGGTGTAGGGTGGCCACACTTGGTGTTTTCCTGGTAGTGCCAGCGGCTCTGGGCTTGGCCTTGGTCTTGGCCTTGGCCTTGGCAGTTGCTTTTGTTTCTTTGGAGGTGCTGGGGATGGACCACCTAGAGCAGCACTCCAGCCCCTAACGGCTCGCCTTCCCCTGAGGCTATGGTCCTGAGGGCGAGGGGAGGGAGACTGAGTGGACCTGGGGAAGTCCCCAGCCCTGCACTGGTGCCTGCCTTGTGAGCTGTTTGGTCCCAGGCAGATCCTGAACATCCTGGGAAAGCCACATAGGCTGCGCAGCCCTTCTGAACCAGGCCCACAGGACTTGCAAGCAGGTGTCAAGGCCATTGCACCATCAGCCCAGGAGTTCCTCACTTCCCGTGCTTCCTGTAGATGCTGACAGCTGCTCCCCAGGGTCCAGCGAGTCGCCTGTGCAGAAGCCTCACTGTTGAGAGGAGGGACTCACTTCAGTCTGGGGCTTGGCTACGGTGGGAGGCTGCGGGAAGGCCAAGTGGTGGCCTGGGGCGGCCTGGGATGCAGAGTGCTGTGCGGGAAGGTGCAGGTGCCGAATGGGCTGTGTGGCAGCAGGGCTGAGTGATCAAAGGGCTGGACGTGGTTTGAGGTCCTGTTGGGGTGGCCTGGAAAACTGCTAGTCTGAGAAGTTCGAGCTCTGTCTGTGGGAGGGCGGCCACGGAGCCTTTGACCTGGGAGAGCCCAAACCATAGCATGGATGAAAGAGTTGAGAAGACTTGAAAGCCCCCTAGCCTGAGCCCTTTATTTTACAGGGAGAAAACCTAGAAAGCAATAGGGCTGCACTTTGCCCAAAGCCGTGCAGATCTGGGACAAAGCCAGGACTCCCTTCTCGTGATGTGGTGCTTTCCGATAGCCATCTGCTTCCATGGTGACCGTGGTGTTCAGGAAGATGGCCTGTTCCGAGTAGGACTGGGGCAGGCTGTCCAGTCAGGAGGACAAGGACAGCGGAACAGACAGTTGCCAGGGTCCACCCTGACTTAAGAGATGGCCTTCTGTGGGGATTGGGCCCTTAGAGTCGCAGGCTGGGCTGCATCCCTAGGGAGAATGTGGGGGCTGAGAAACTCCTGGAGAGAAACTTTGTCATCTACCAATGGTGGCCGACATTCCCACGTCCCGACAGCACCTGTGCTTTCACAGCTTGTCGTTACCTGAGCCCAGGAGAGGCCAAAGGTGGAGGTGGAGAGAACTCTGGAGGCCTTGGAGGCCTGTGGGTTTTTCCAGAGCCATTCCTACCCCAAACACTCCAGAACAGACAGTGCCTGACCATGGCGACCCGGGCACCTACAGGGGACAGGAGCCGGCTCACTGTGTTGATCTTAGATAAGGCCACCCCCAAGCAAACACCCCATGCTGCTCTCTTATCTTTGGGGCACTAAGAGGTGGCAGGGGTTGAAGATCCAGGTGCATACCACAGGGTCCCGGAGGAGGATGGGGAGGAGGGATTTGTGAGAACATGGGAGAGGCCCAGGAAGCACCTCATGTCGCCCTCCCCCCCCCCACCAATTGTAGAAGTGGGGTACAGGCCGGCTGGAGAATGTAGATCTGACCCAAAGGAGTGGGGAAGACCGCGTGACTGGGGGTCCAACATGTGGCTGTTTTCCTGCTTTTTAAGTTTGGATAATAACCAAGACCCATTGGGCAGCTTTCTGAGGGTGGGGACCTAACCTGACCCGACTGGAGCTGGCTTTTTCCTGGAGCTTAGTAGGGGTTTAGTGTTTGCTGATGTCCTTCCTGTGGCCGCTTCCTGGAGCCTGTCCTTAGCGACTTAATTGCGAAATGTGGCTGCCTCTGAGAACAGGTTACCTGTGCTCACTCCTCACTGCAGTTTCTTCTGTTCTGATAATTACTTGGTTGTAGGAAGCACGTTTGTTTTTTAACCAGTTTGGCCAATCAGCTTGAGGCTGATTTGGGGGTTATAAAAGAGATGATTATTTGAGTTGGGTTTTTTTGGTGGGCACCTACGACTTCTAGATCAGCATTTTCCAATAGAGATGTAATGCTAACCTCAAATGAGTTTTATGTGTAATTTAAATTTTTCTAAGAGCCACATTTAATAATTCAAAAAAGAAACAAGTGAAATGAATTTTAATAACAACTATATTTTACTTAACCACTACATCCAAAATGTTATCACCTAAAGGTATAATCAGTGTAACAAATTCATTTATTTATTTTTTGGTACTGGGAATTGAACTTGGGGCACTTAACCACTGAGCTGCATCTCCAGCCCTTTTAAAATTTTTTTTTATTTTGAGACAGGGTATCACTTAAGTTGCTTAGGGCTTCACTAAATTGCTGAGGCTGGCCTTGAACTTGGCATCCTCCTGTCTTAGCCTCCTGAATCACTAGGATTACAGGTGTGTGCCACTGTCTGGCTCAGTGTAACTAATTTATTGAGATAGTTTGACTTTTTAAAATACTAGTCTTTGAAGCCCAGAGGGCATTTTATTCTAGTGGCACATTTCATGTTTTAGTGGCTGCACATAGCTCCTGGCTACCGGGCTGGACGTGCTTGTCCTCGTGTCCAAGCCAAGCCTCCCACTGGGCTTCCCTGTTCAGGCTGTCTTGGGATCGTAGCCCCAGCAACTTCTTTCCTGTCTTTAGTCTCTTTCTTGACAAAAGTGTGTGTCCTTAGCCTTAAGATATGTCCCCTCACATCACCACCCCAAGCATCCATTCCTTTCCCTGTGTCCACTTCCTTTCTGGGGACTGACCCCTCACCCTGTCACCTGACTCCCCTCATCACTGTATGGAAGCTGTTCTCACAGAGGTGCTGGTGATCCACACTGGGGCCTGCAGACCCGAGTTGGGACACACTGGGTTCAGGGGGGAGCTTCTAAGAAGGCAGATTGGTAAGGTCTCCTCCTCAGATTTGGATCCAGGAGGTCTGGAGCAGGCCCCAGATTCAATTTTAACAAGTATTCCAGGTAATTCTTTTCTAAGTATAATACTTGCTTTCTAGCAGAAGATTTGAAGGTGTGTGTGTGTGTGTGTGTGCATGCGCTTTCTGGAAAATTTCAGACCTACAAGAGTAGAGTAGTATGAGGAGTCTCCAGGGCTCCACATCCATGTTTTATCTGTCTCCAGATGTATGGCTGTTGCTTTCTCAGGACCCCACCTCTACGTGTGTCCAAGGCGTGTACTGGGCCCTGCACAGACTCAAAGAAAGCAGGGATAACCCAAGTGCTGGTTTTGGCCCTGGCTGATAAGGAATGGCGCCACCAACTCCAGACTCTACTGGGATCAGGGACAAAAAGGACCAACTAAAATTATTTAAAAAATTTTTGATGGTGCTAGGGTTGGAACCCAGGCCCTTGCACCTGCAAAGTTTGTGCTCTCTGGCTGAGCCACACCTCAAGCCTCAGAAGTGTTTTTTAAAGCAAATCCAAGCATAGTGTCAGCTCATCCTTGGAAATGGCAACGCTGACAGGTTACGATGCATGTGGGTGGCTTGAGTCGGAATCCAAAGTCCAGTTTCTGTTGAGACACCTTACCCTCCTCCACCCTTCCATCCCCCAAAAAGCTGTTTGTCCTGTACCACGTCCCACACTTTGAACTTTTGTTGGTTGCTTTCTTATGGCATTGATTAACTTCTGCCCCGCCCCCAGTGCTTTCTGGAAACTGGCAGCTACACCTGTTCCTGGACACTTGGACTCACCCCTTTTCTTTTGGTGTGAAAACGTCTTCCTGGGGCTATGAATCTACCGCTGCGCCACACTGCAAGGCTGTTAACATTGGCTGGTTCTGTTTTTCTTAAGGATAATCCACGGGCATCACCAGATCCATGCTTGTTGAGGTTCCCCATTATTACCCTTCCGCCTAAGGGTCTTATCTACCCTTGTCCGTGGACCCATGGTTAGGGATTACAGATGGCCTAGCCCTTCTGTGTTTATTAGCACTTTTTCCTTCAGCAGTTACTTTACTACCTGGATATACAGGAAAGGCAAGACAATGGCTTCATCATTTTTTTCTACTTAGAAAGTGCTGGAAAGTCAACCTTTGAAAATTACTGTCATTTTCCCATTACGAAGTCATTGGTTTTTATGTAT